ATTATAACAAAAGTTTTCATTTGATTAGAGCTGAGCAAGTGTGACACAAGTCCATATTCACTGAGCACCTAGAATAACAATTTTTCTTCTGAAGATCATTATACTTTCTCCGAATTTATTAGATTTCAAATCTGGCGCAAGGTCTTCTTTTGTGAGTATTTAGAAAGAATTAAAGCATGTATTAATACATTTGAGATCTTATAAGAGGTACAAAATTTAATTAAGCCAATTTAATATAGGTTTCATAGTAGATAGGTAAATAGAGATAGATAGGCTCGCCTATCGCCCGGTTCACGCTCCTCCTCAAATTTTGAACAGGAGTAGAGGTTTATCCCTTGTTTCCTGTTTATGGTTGTGTTTCTGGTTCCTTTTAAAGTCTTTTTCATTCTCTTTCACTTCTAGTAGCACAACGTTGCGTCTTAGTGGCCTTATCGCTTTGCTTGGGGGGAATTGATTAAAAAAGACACAATTAAAAAAGGGAAACGACAGTTGGCAATACAAAATTAGAGGCAAGAAAAAAAGAGAAAAAAATTACTTTCCCCGATTGAGTTCTGACAATAACCGGTTAACACATTCTATAGTATTTTTGTCTTGTTTTTCCTACTCTATCAAGCCCAACATTATGACTTTTCTACTATGACATCTCTTCCATGACTTTTTCTAATCCTAACAAACCAAACCATATAAATTTTCTCACACAATTTCTCCTACGCTATCATAATTCATCTTATGACTTTCCTCCCAACAAAAAGAAAACATCATAACTTTTCTTGTATGATTTTTTTCTTCCTAACAATTCAGAATTTATTAATTTTCTGTGAAATCATTTCCACGTTAATATTTTTATTATGGCAATTGTATTTTTATATATATATATATATATATATATATATATATATATATACACCAAGCCACGTTAAAATCATCAGATAACGAAGAAAAAATATGCATGGGAGTAACTGAAGGACGCCGGAAACAAAGAAATTACGCACACAAAATATCTTTCAGAAATAGTAAATACGCGAATAGCACAATGCTTTCCAAGTATATCTGGGAAATTCAAAACAAGGAGCAAATCACACCCAAAATATCATGAATTAATCAAAAAACTACAAACTCTGCTTGGAGGAAAAATAGCTATAATTACCTTCCTAGACCAAAACAAACTATTAAATAAACAATCAGAACTCATCTTAATATGCAGACACGAAAACAGATTTTTACTACATTACTTAAAAATCGAAAACTGAAAAGAATAAATAAAAATAAATAAATAGGCAAAAACAAGTAAAATAAATTAATCCAAATAAATAAAGTAAATAATAAAAAAATTAATAAAACACTCCCGCCAAAATAACCGCTATAATAGACTATCCACAATGCAATAGACTACCCACGATGCACCACTGATCTGTATATATAAACGGTCGAAAAAAAAAACACAAGGTATGTGGCCTGATGATTGGGTTTAGCATGAAACAGTCTGTTGCCTCTGAGTGTTGATTTCAGTGTTCACTTTATATATATATATATATATATATATATAGTAAACGTAATAAATCCAATGGTATATAATCCAAGTGGATCCTAGTAATGTAAAATATTAAAACTGATCCACCAAAAGAGCTCAATGTCTTTATTATTACAGAGCAAATAAATTAGTACATGAAAAAATACTAAATTACCTTATATGGGAAATAGAACTATTTCAACCTACGAAAACTCCGTATATAGATTGAGTTCGTGTCGGAATTAGAAATTTAACTGTGACAGCTGTCGAAAAAATAATACAGAATTTATCCATTTCAATGTTTAAGTCAGACGAAAGGCAAGTGGTTAGAGGATGGTGTATGGTATTAAAGGGAAGGGGTTTTATAAAATTAAACTTGGATATTAACTGTATGACATTAATTTGAGGTTATATGAAGAATGGAGTCATAATTTGAAAGTGAGAGAGGAACGAAAAGGTTTTGTTTTTTTTCATTTAAATAGATGAGGTTAAGTTTAAAAATACAAATTCCTACTTTAAACTACTCTTCCAAAGACAAGTTATATTTAAAAATAATATATATATATATTTTGTGTGTGTGTGTGTGTGTGTGTGTGTGTGTGTGTAAAGATTTAAAAAATAATATATATATATATGTGTGTGTGTGTGTGTTTGTGTGTGTAAAGATTTAAAAATATATATATATATGTGTGTGTGTGTTTGTGTGTGTAAAGATTTAAAAAATAATATATATATATATATATGTGTTTTTGTGTGTGTAAAGATTTAAAAAATAATATATATATATGTGTGTGTGTGTTTGTGTGTGTAAAGATTTAAAAAATAATATATATATATGTGTGTGTGTGTGTGTTTGTGTGTGTAAAGATTTAAAAAATAATATATGTGTGTGTGTGTGTGTGTGTGTAAAGATTAAAAAAAAAATGACTCCAAATTGATGTCATAAAAACTCTACCAAATGAAGCCAGGCAGTTTAAACTTTCCTGTGGCAAAATTTTACAGAAACACACACACACAAATTTGAATTGAAAATGGGTGCGGTTTGATTGGATGGGGATTTGATTTATTAACCAATAGGTATAAAAGGTATTGGCCCCACCTATGAAATTGTTTGTGTGAGTCTGTTTTGATCAATGTATTTGCTATATAAGAGGAGAGATTTTGACTGCAAAGGTAGAAAAGGATAGTCTAGAAAGGAGTAGGGACCACACCCGGTCTGCTGCTACTGCAGGGAATGAGTTAGGCGACTCAGGCGAAAGGCTGTTGTTATCAGATAGAAAGTCATAACCATTTTAGTGCGTAAATTCTGCTGCAGGTGAGAAAAGTAATAGACCATGTGGTGATGTGGGATGATAAAAGACTGTTACCATTGTCACTATTGAAGAAGAAGAAGAAGAAGAAGAAGAAGTTCTTTTTTATAAAATGAGGATAAAAATTAAAGTGTCTGAAGTCATGTGAAAGGTTTCTTTTCGGTTCCTCGCGACCAGCGTTGAAGTTCTTACCAGTGTAAAATTACTTGCCAATTATATTATCATCCTCTAACCAGCACACGACACTTAAAAGAATGTTATCCAAGAAAACTAAATATTTCAAACTGTCTTCGTCTACTTTTGAATGTATGCAAACCATATATCCCTTCGGTGAGCAACGGACTCTTTTACCTCTTTGTCTTAAACATTCTTTAATATTATTTTGTATCAAATCATTTAATCTGTTGCATGAACATTTCCTCTTCATGGCAATACGTTAAAACTACGGACTTTGAGAATTCTGGTTTATTTTCCCGAAACGAGCTACTGACAGTACTTCAAGCTTGTAAATTCTTTATCTTGTTTTGTTAAAATTACCCGTGTGTTTCCTCGTCATTATAACCCTTAACCTTGTTGGCGTGGATAAACGAATTGTTCATTTTAACCCCAAAACTACGCGCAACTAAAATACGAAGATATATGGGTGAACCTCCAAAACCCTAACCCTGCCTGAGATTCCCATATCAGTGTGTGTGTGTGTGTGTGGGGGGGGGACTGGCTGGTAACATTCAATGCCTCAAAAACCAAACTAGTTACATTCCATCATCACTGACTGGACCCTGAACTATCACCAATCACGATGAATGGATGTCCCCTCAGTAAGGCCCGTGCCCTGAGCACCTATTGGGACTTAATTTCAATCCAGACCTTAAGTTGAACATGTACATATGATCCATCACTAAAGATACTAGAAAAGTGGTCAGCTCCCTGTACCGTTCCAGTAAGTACCTGACTCCTTCTACTATCCTCTACCATTACAAGAGCTAGATCTGGCCAAAAAAAAAAAAAAAAAAAAAATGGAGTACTATTGACATATATGGACAGGAGCTGCCCAGACTCGATAGAGTCCAAAAGCGTCTCTGTGTTCTTGTGGGTAACAAAAAAATTTCCACTCTACAACCTCTTTCTCACAGATGAAACGTCACAAGCCTCTCACTGCTCTTCTTCCTAAGAACCGCTGCTTTGTACAACCGACTACCAAGGGGATGCTTCTCCGATCACTACAATTTTAAGTCTTAACCTATTATCTTCCCCACATATCCCCTGTAGCCCTAGTCTACCTCGAGTAGATCTCGGGCCTTGTACACGGTGGACATCATAGTAAAAAAATTAAAACAATATAACTAAACAACTATTTTTCTTATATATAAATCACCACCAGCTACTGTAAATTTCTGTAAAAGTTCATGCATTTTTCTATAAAATGTTTGTTTGCAGTAGAGACGAATGAAAGTGATTCTGAAAGCAGAAAAGAATTATCTCTACTGAGTGTCGTCAACAATTAAGTGATTTGATAATCAAACAACGTTCATTATTTACATTATTCGGACTATTGTCCTCACCTTTGTCGCCATAAAATGTTTCAGCCGTTGTACGCTCCGGCCTTCTTCGGGTGGTTGGAATGTTGAACTGAACCCTTTATTTCGCTCACTGGGGTAGACTGTTCTAGTTCCACGCGCCATTTTTAATGGACGTCAGTTATCAGTTATCTCCTGTTAATTCCTTTCTTCAAGTTCTTCACTGCCTTAACCGGGTATTGAACTCACACTCTTTGGGTCCTGTCACTGGATCTAACTTCAAAATCCTTTATCCACAGTGCCATGTGTCCTTGAAGAAGGACGGAGCGTACAACGGCCGAAACATTGTATTAAATATGGCGACAAAGATGAGGACAAGTCCGAATCATAATGTACAATTACAATATATCTCATCTCAGAAATATAGACAGATACCAAACAAACGTTGTTGTTATTTTGATCTTCGTTCACATTAAGACTGAGAAACTACGAGAGTTTTTGGTGGCGAGTCTTTGTTCTGTTTTGCTTTACTTAAAAAAGATTTATTTGCAATACAAATTATCGTAGCAAAATCAAAGCTGCAAACAAAAATCATTTTAAAGGGAAGGAATTCATTGGAACTCTTCTGTTAAACGAGTCAAAATAAAACCTTTCTCAAGCAACATGGACGACACGTGGGATTGTTTGACTCTTTCTTCTGCGTGTCAAAATGCAATTAAAGACTTAAAGTTTAGTAAAATGACCCCAGTACAGGTTAGTTTTGTGCCTTTCTATAAATATTAAACTTATTCCACCTCCCATCTCTTTTCTGTTTTAATACAATGTCATTTAAATACGTTGAAACAAACCAAAGTTTTTTTTTCAATGATAGATAACCCGCATGTCATTTGTTTTTCAACTGTTATTTTTTTTCTTAAAACTTTTTATTCAGCTTGTCATTATAATACAATTTATAATTATAGTTTTTAATATCATAAAGTATATAATTTATTTAGCATTAATTTCTTAACGATGTGATTCATGCTTTTTTTCTATTATCCTTGTGAACAACCGGTAACTTTTTCTTTCATAACAAAAATCTTTTTATAATTTTATAATTGTTTTTTTTCTGTTATCATTTGGAAACATATTTCTTACCTTATTAAATGAAGCTTTTCATTCACACTAAATATGTATTCCTCTTAGTTCTAGTCAAAGATTTTTTTTGTTAAAGTTACGGTAGAGTGTTACAGACACTGCGACCAAAAATAATCATTTTTTTACTCATTTAAACTAAAGGCTTAAACATTCCAGATTACGATTATTAAAAAAAAAAAAATCATTAAATTTTAAAAGTTAATAATGGGGACCAGTTTGCTATGTATAAGTAAATCGACCCCAACCCTGTACGGAAGCCAAAACAACTTATATGACCTGATTTCTTAAATTTTTTAAAATATTTTTGAATTTTGCCATCTGGAATACTTATCGATTTTAAATATATGAAAACGAAACTACGAATTTAATTTATTTATTTATTTTAATTTTATTTTTTTAAATTATTTTGAAACTACGTGGTATAAGCTAAGGAAGCATTTGGCTTTCGTAGGGTGATGAATTTATTTAATTTACATAACAAACTGGACACCCTAACTTTTAAAATCTAATAATTTATTTTGTGCCAGCAGTTATGACAGTGTGAGTGCCGATTGTACAGTCTACAGTTCCATCAAAGTTATTTGAATTAATATTTTTTTTCTCCCTTTGATCTATTTTGGCCTTTGAATGAAACACATTTTTAGTCATCTCGGGGTAGTAGTTGTTACCAATGCAGAAAGTGGAATTAGCATGACAAGTTCAAATTCCAACCATTTCGACTTTGCACAATTTGGGAATGTATGAAATTATGAATCTATTTTTTCTGGTAACAGAACAAAATCCGAATGAAAAAATCGCAACATCTTATCCTTAAAGTGGGCAGAATCCCTATCTCATAAAATTTAAAAAGAAGTAAATTTTTAACATTGAAAATTCAAGGAGCTTTTAATTCAAAATTTAATGTGAAATTGAGAATAATAATATGTAATTTATACACTTGTGTACAATATCCAATACACTCCAATCCAATGTCAAATAGAGACAAACCCAATCCAATACATACTCACATATTTACTTCATTTTACATGAATGATCACTTAAAATGAATGCATGCTCCAACACTCTGCAGTTCCATGGTTGAATGAAAACTAAAAGCAATACTGACAATATATGTCTGTTCTCTTAATATAATATGATAACAGACGGATGGACTTTAACACCTTATTAATTAATCTTATATGAGACTAAGATTTTGCCCACTTTTGGGATAAGTGTCTTCTGGTTTTGTCATGGATTCTACTTTTTCTCACTCCACCTAAAGGTTCAGACTGGCATCTCTTGCCTTTGTTCGCAATCATTCTAGGAGAAAGACAGTTCTGAATTAAAAACTGGTTGGGAATGCAGCTTGCAACTCCACCCCATAAAAACCTATTTGTTACAAAAAGTGTGATGATGAGACTGAGATCCAAGCATATACACACACATATAATAATAATACACATACATATAATAATATAATAGAAACATGGTCATAATTACTTTTGATGATTTTGCACTAAAAATACTTGGATATTTATTGTATAATACGAAATAATCATAACCAATTCATTTTGTTAGTGTTTGTTGGCTTCAAGTATTTATCATGTTTCTTGCAGCAAACATATTTTAACACAATCTCAGCAATTAAGTTTGGCTTTGTATAAATAGTTTTTCATTTTGTTTTACTTTGTTTATACCAACCAAAAATAAGACAGCATTATTATTATACTTTTGCCCCCCCCCCAACCCCTTCAAAACACCATATATTTATTTCCTGTGCATCAAAATTTGCATTATAACATTTAAATTGGACATCTGGAAACTATTGTTTTCAATCAAGATCAACATCAGTAAATTTTCCCACCAATCTGTGTATTGTTTTTGGTGCAGACCTAAGGTTGAGACTGACCATAACGATGTTAAACTCATAAGCCGATAGCATGATAAAAAAAAGACCCCTTAAACTTGATAAAAAAAAGTTTTATCATCAAAATGTTTATTATTAAGAGGAAAGGCCAGAGAATTTTTTTTTATTAAATTTTTTTAATCCTTTCTAGCATGTTTGAAATTTTGATTAAAAATCTTTTTTTTTTCTTTTTTGCATTAGCAGTTGACAAATATTTATGATTAGCACCTTTTTATTTTTCCATTGAAAAATGCACATTGATTTGGAAATCCTTGCAAAAATCAAATAATAGTCAGATTTTAATGAAACTTTAGAAATGAATAAAATCTTTATTTTTTTTTCTTTTACATGTGTCCCCGCACCACTTACTTCATGAAATTTCAAGAAATTAAATTTCCATCCCAAAATTTGTTTTATTAGTTAAAAGCAGGACTCCACATAGATTCTATAAAGTAATCATCTGTCGCATCATAATTTGTTTGTCCATGCATTACTTTGTTCTGATATTTTTTTTTATTAAATATGGTGTTTTTTTTTGTTTTTTTTAAAAAAAAAAAAAAACAGATCACCTTGGTCAAGTCCCGCTACTCCCTACATAGTGTTTGGTATGAATTGTGTCGAAGATGACCTTTTGAAAATTTCAATTTTGTACCTGGAAATAATGTCTTTCTTAGAGTTTTAACAGTCATGTTAAGTGATGCTGAAAAATATTTTTCATATTTTATTGATTCTATATATTTCTTCATTTTTGTTTTTGATTTCTTAGGCAGCCTGTATTCCACTGTTTCTTCAGAATAAGGATGTTGCTGCAGAAGCTGTCACTGGAAGTGGAAAGACTTTGGCTTTTCTCATTCCAATCATTGATCGATTGCAGAAGAGAGAAGAAACATGGAAAAAGCATGAGGTATTTTTGCATCCACTTGGCAATATGACAAACTTAACAACATGAGGTCTTAAAGCTATAATACACATACACACACACATGAGGTGGTATTGAAAAGTTATCAACTCATCCCACATCATAAAATTTGCCCAAATATCCAAACACAATTTTGTTGGGGGAAATCATTTCATTTAATTTCTTTTTGTTTATGTTTCCATCATTTTTGTTATTAAATATCCCACATTAAGATAATAAAAGGCCTGCCAGTTATCTATTGCCACAATATGGGATATTTAATAACAAAATTGATGGAAACCTGGGCAAAAAGTCTAGAATTAATTTCACTCTCTTTCTTGTCAGTTCTTTGATATTTGCTTTGGCGACAATTCTTCTTTCCTTCTCCTCTTGCTCTCTTCACAATCTCTTGTGCTCTTACTATTTTTTCCACCACATAAAACCCACACTTGACCATGTGAGAACCATACAATCTAAAACGGTTGCCTCCTTTCACCCTTTTGGTTATGTGATTTTTACATTCTTTTCAGTGGTCAGAAATTTACATGTTACAAGTAAAATCTTATTTGCAAGAATGTAACATTCTTAAATATTTGACTTATGAGCAGCCATCTCTTTTTCTTTTGCCCCCCCCCCTCTGGATTTCTTTATATTTGTTATAGTGGAACACACCTGTTCTATAGTTAATAGACTCTCCCACCTATAATAAGTAGGAGTAGTAAGAATAATGAGGAGTCGCTCAGTGGGTCAGTCAGTTGATGCCGGACGACCATTAGTCGGATACTAAAGTATCAACGACCACAACTAGATTTCCCTGCATCATTACCTATTATATCAAGTTCCTAACATTTTGTACGTCAAACCTATTTTAGGACCGACTTAGTACAAATACAAGCCTCCACTATGAAACCACTCCATAACAATACTGAATGCACGTGCAAAGTCTTTGTGCCAACAGTAAGTCATTTTTTCCTTGATTTGTTTTTTTATCTTTCAGTTCTCCAACCACAAAAAGTAAAAAAGGAACTAAACAAAATTGGACAGGCTATATATACCCAAATCACATATTTAAAAGGAAAAAAAAAAATATTCTCAACATCCCCTTTCTTTTATGTGCCTGAATAGTCGCATCAAATTAAACATCACTATAGTTCACTGAAGGACACAATTTACTCACTACAAATGGCTTGGAAATGCTGTGCTTTTACCCTTGAATGTTGTTGTCATTTTAAAAAAAAATAATTTGGTGGTTGATCCATTACTTTAACTTCTCAACAATCCTTCACCAAACTGGTATCAACAAGCACTATTGTTTCACTCTGTCACCCTTTTGCCTTTCCTATTTTTTCTTTATCCTTATGTCCCCTTTTAAAATGCACTTTTTTTTTTTTTTTTTTTTTTTTACCTTCAAACAAATGGAAAAAAGGAAGTGATGTTCCACATGCAGCTAGTTTACAAATAGAATTGCTCATAACCATTTGGGTTCTCACCAATTGAGGTGAAACTAAATGCACTGAAACAAAGTTGCATCTTTGTATTGAGTAAATTGCTTTTGTCTATATGAAAAAATTATAATAAATAATTATTGCTCTACTATCAGTAATGGGCCTTCTTTTGAATTAATGCTGTGGATATTAAAATTTATTTATTATTTTCATTCTCATTACATTTGGGTGTGTGTGTATATATATATATATATATATATATATATATATAATCAAAAGTCGCTGGGAAATACTACATCTCAAACCAGACCTAAAAGCTTTGAGGAACCCAGCCTTCTAGCATATCATAGACCTAAGAACCTTAAGGAAATTATAGGTAGTAATCAAATTTCAGATGATAAGATAACCCATAATAGACCAAAAATAAAAACAACAGGATTTTCCCAATCATGTAACAACAAAAGGAGCCTATGTTGTAACCACATTAGTCATACCAATTCATTCCCTAGCTCAGTCACTAAATCTACTTTCAAAATCTACAACTCTAACTGTAGAAGTCATAACATAATTTACCTATTAGAATGCACACTATGCCAGAAACAATATGTGGGAAAATCAGAATGTCCCTTTCACTACAGAATTAATAATTATCAAAATCGGATCAAGTCGGCTCCCCACAAAAGATTATTACCTGTAGAACAACATTTCTACCTTGAAAAACATGATTTTAAAAGCCATGCAAAATTCATTATAATTGAAAAAATAAAAATAGACAGAAAAGATAATTTAGAGAAAAATACTAGAGGAACATGAAGACGAAAGGTTTTTGCACCTTGAAATATTTCATCCAGATGGGCTGAACCACAAATCCTACCCACATTTCTCACCCACACAAGAAAAACGTGCTTGCAGAGGTTTTGAGGTCTCGCACTTATACACACACTCACACAAATATATACATCACACACACTCCCAAAAGACTAAAAAGATAGCATATGCCTAACCCCATCCTATTCCCAGCAATCAATAAAACTGTCAAAATAATCAAGGAGGAAATTCTGAGAGTCTGGAATCTTCCATCCTCTATCTTAAAAACAACTTGAAAGAAACCGTTTAACTAATACAAGGACTGACCAAAATTAACAATAAAAAACAAATGAAAACTACAGATAAAGTTCAGTCTTTTCAGAGAGAGTCATTCACTACTGTAGCTCACAGTTACTAACAAGCAGGGATTTTTTTTTTCTCCTGATGATGGCTATGCTGGCCGAAACTAGTTGAGGAACCTAATTGAAATAATAAAACAAAAAATATTAATATACAACCCACTGTTTCTGAAAATTTTTATTTTTTATTATTCAAAGCATTATTTATAGATAGTGGTGTCTTTGCTTCCACGTTTAATTCGTTCCATAACTGAGCTAGTAACTCAAATTACTTGTATGTCAAATCAATTTTCCCAATTGAAATTTCATTAATCTATTCTGTACCTGAAAAACATTGCATTTTTTTTATTACATGTTTTTAAATAAGAATAATGTACCTATAAATAATGAATCTATATCTATAATTCTCAAAATGTATGCATGTGTGTGATATCAGATGTTGCTTAAGGGTTTCCATAGTTTTCATCTGATTTCAATTAAATTTTTTTCTTTGATAGATAATTCTTCAGTGCCAGTTTTGAGTCCAAATTGGCTGGAAAAAATTACAACCTTGAAGGTGAAAAAATGAAAATACTGATTTTTTTACACTTTGCACAAAAATCAAGTGCAAAATTTAATGTCTAAAAAACAGCATACAATCAATTTAGAGAGTTGAAATCTAACGCAAAAGATTGTTAGAATTATAAAAAAATTATATTATAAATAATAATTATCATATATTATTATGACGGTCCATGCAAGAGGTTCTTTCTATGTGAGATTGAGAATGCAAAAATCGCCTTTTCAGACACCCCCCACTTCCCAAATTTGGGGATGTGCCTCAGTTGCACCCAACTGTTGTTACTAATATTGATTTTCAGGTGGGCTGACTTTAAATTTAAACTGCTCCAATTGAACAGCAAAAATTCTCAGTAATGAAACACCTGGTCAAAAACAGGTTATACTGCTAGTATTGTATAAAAACACAATCCAATAAAATGTACTGTAATAAAATGGTGTAATGTACAGCATTTACCTTGGAAATCATTCGACTGAAATGAATAACTGAATTTTATTTACTGATTTTTTTTGCCCTTTTCACCAAACTTTTCTCACTTTCATCTGCTGGGGTTTTCAATAAAAATCTGTCCAATCAGATCTGTTTCATCCTCTCTTTCAGAATATTCCTGAAATGAGTTTGACAATTGTCATTAAATAGTGTCGTTGCATACCCAGTTGCAACTTTTTCTGGGTGTTTCTTTTCAATAAAGTCTGAAAGTTTCTCCCATATTCCCTTTATCTCACTGTCTGACAATGGAGTAAATACTGCCCTGACTGGCTTTAGCTTGTCCAATGCCTCATCCATTGAGCAGACCCCAGGTTTGCTGCTGCAGCAAATCAGTGTAAATAGGTTGTGCCTTCTCACAGATTATAGCTTCCATCACAGTATCACCTGTGAGCTGCTTCTCCATCAACCACACCATCAGCAGCTTCTCCATATTTTCATTGATAGATGTTTACTGTTTAGAAATTATTTTAACACCCCTGGCTGGCATTATAACCTTTATTGACTCGTGCTTCAGTATAGTGCAGGTTATAGAAGTGCTACGCTTGTGTTCCTTTGCCAAGACAGCAACACACACACACACCATGGTTATGTTTTTCGATAATTTCTTTAATTCGATGCACATCATCCGCTTCTTCTTCTAAGCACTGTCCTTCGCCCTCACTTTATTCAGGCCTATAGTTGGAAAAAACAAAATTTAACAAACTAACTGCAAGCACAAATGCAAGCAGCAAGACTGATGCTTCCACTGTGAGTTAACCGCTTAAAGTGAACAACTGAAACTCAGGATGCTGGACAGATGTTGTGAAGTTCACAGTAGTGTTCGCTGTGCCAGCTAGCAGTAGAGTATCTGAAGCTGGCTTGTAATCTGAAATTTAGCTCTCAACTCAAAGCAAAAAATCAGCCTAGAGACAGCTCATATCTCAAAAAACTCATTAGTTGAAATAATTAACAAAACAAGTCTATTCAATAACTTTCTTGGGTCAACAAAAGCATAGAAAAAGGATGTGAATCATTAGTTCACTCTATTAAAAATAACATTCCTGAGCTACTCATGGTTAAATGGAAAATTGCATTACATTGATTATTTACATGAGAAGCAGTTACCTGTTCTAAAAATTAATATTTAAGATACTGGCTTTTACATGGGCTTGAACATGCATCTGTGGAATTTGTGGTTAATATGCAACTACTTCGTCCACATGAAACTTTTTCTGGTTATGTCTTAAATTGAATTGTTTTGTTAACAAGGGAGATAACTGTGTTTTCTTTTTCATCCCAATGTTACAGCAGCGTTTCTGGGGACACCTAATCAAGTTGCAATTCGTTGCTCAAAAAATTTAAGAATTT